CAGATTATAGTAGATAGTAAGTAGATTAAACATAGAGATAATCACTTATTATTATCCATTTTTTTTAATCTTTCAGGCGCTTTACTGAGCCATATGGCTATAACGGATTCCATTTCCTTTATAGACGTTTTCTTTTTATCATACATTTTAACAGCATCTAAAACCGATAAAAAAAGCTAAGCGTATAAAAAGAGTATAAAGCTTAAAAATTCAGAATTGTGCAAAAGGCAAAATTTTCTATTTCTACAACTGTACCATCTTTTAATAAGCATGTAGAATCTCGTAATATTATAGATAACTTAAAATCCTTAAATTGAACAGTTCTGTATTGTGGGTCGGTGCAATCAGTGATCAAAATACCATCAGAATGAGGCATGCTTAATGTAAATTTTGTTAATGCTACTTATATTTCAAATATATATCATGTGTGTCGAGCTTAACTACAATACCTAATATAGCAATAGAAATTTGAAGTTCAGAGAAGTTTTTCTGGCTTTTATGGCCTTTATAACTGAATTAGAAGCCAGCTCGTCAGTCATTACTTTCGACATTATACGCCGTATACATTCTTTGTAATTATTGCCTCCCAATCTAGTCAAATTTGTAGCCTGTAAAATTCAATTTAGTTTTTGATCTCTAATACATAAATGAGCATATCATTTATATAATCGATATATAATTTACCAATCTTTGTAATAAATCTGTGTCGCGTAAGTCGTTCTCGCAAATCATCAATTGTCCCAGTGTAGAAAGTGATAAATCTTTCATTATATCTTCTTCTATTGCTGTATCAGTAGTAATACTATGAGAGTTCTAACTCGGGAACTCCGAGGGGAATGCGGGGCGCGGGGGATACTCATAGGCGAGGGGTATGACGTCATGCGGAGTGGTAGTAAGACATCACAGATTTTGGGGACTGCAGTCACGTACAAGACAACAAAAAACATCATAAAAAGGGATTATTACCATGAACAAAAAATAATACAAAAAAACAAATGGTTATAAACGAGAAGTGTTACAAAGGGTATTCGCTGGTATATGCTCCAACCGTTTTTCAGCCAAGATATGGTGTAATATAATTTTTCTAGAAACAATATTTATTAATTATTTTAAATATCAAAATACGAACAAGTTTCATAATTAATCGATTGAGCGCCAACATCTGGCTGCTATCGAAATCGATGATATTGAAACGCAATGTCTTATGACAATCGAACATGTTTTTTGCCAATATGTTTCAAGGTTAGTAGAAGTGTAAATGTAAGTGAAACTCGATAGAATTGTATTTTCATAAATTTTATGAGGGTAGAGCGTTTTTTTCTAAGCATACTTTGAAAATGAGCGTATAATGCTCTACTCTGAAAAGAGGGAGTTACAGACGAAAATGAATTCAGTCTAGAAATGTGTCAGATTACAGTACGTTGAAACCTACGAGAGTGAATTCATTTTACCATTAGTAAATCGTTGTAAACATGGATCAAGATTTCAGTCAAGCAGAGCGCGATCTGTTGAATCGATCCCACCAAATTGCTAGCTTGAAGGAGTGTTTCGCGTGGATAGAAGAGTGCAATGAATTAATTAAACAGCTTGAAGAATGCAATCATGTCAAGCGTCCACGGCTCTCCATTGGATGCAGACAATCTTTAATCGCTACAATTGCACGACTCGAGGGTACGAAGACTGAATTAGAGAGACGATTTCTACATTTTGGTGGTGACTACGCGAGCACTAGCAATAACAGTGACAATAACGCGGAAAGATCTTTTGTTTGGCGAGAGATCGATGCGGCGTTTGAAAATCGAATTTTAACCGGTGCGGTAATTAACGCGGACTATATCGAGCCGCGACGATTTTTAGAAGACATCAGCAGTGTAGTGCTCGAGCGAGTGCAAGACACAACAGAAAGACACAACTGTGTAAAAGTGAACACCATATTTAACGGCGAATTTGTGACGGGTGATAAACGTGCCAATAAAAGTATTAATACTAAAAACTATGAACTTTTCCGAACATCGAACTTGCGTGAATGGTATGAGCGGCACGTCATCGAACCCACGTTGGCATCTCTCGAGGAATTTCAAGAACGTGACAGTGGGTGGGCGTTGTCGCGAATCATGAATCTTACAGTAAACATCAATAAGTGTAATCCATTGCGCGCAGGATGTCGCTTCGAAGTGCCGCGAGAGATAATGACAAAGAGAGCGGTGATTAACGTACGCTCGATGGACAATGCATGCTTCGCATGGTCGGTGGTCGCCGCTCTGTACCCAGCCGAAAGAAACGCGGATCGCGAATCTTCCTACCCACACTATACGACGGTGCTGAATTTCCAAAATATAGAATTTCCTATAACGTTAAAAGACATAACAAAATTTGAACGTCTCAACGACGTGTCCATTAACGTATACATTATCGAGAGACAAAAAACGCTAAACGTTCTCCCGATACGACTCGCTGACGACAAAAAGGAGAAACATGTTAATTTACTATATTTGCGAGATCCGCGAGACGACAATGTGGGCCACTTCGCATGGATCAAGAATATTTCTCGGCTCATGAGCTCGCAATTGAATAAACATAACGGCCAAAAGTACATTTGCGATCGGTAAGTATACGATTAATAAAAGCGAATTCTTCTTTAAAAATAAATTTTAAAAAACCATTATTTATTTTTTATTTGCAGCTGTTTACATTATTTTCATTCCAACGAGAGATTGCAGTTACACATGGTAGATTGCGTACGTATAAACGACTGCGCTATTCGACTACCGAGCGACGACGACAAGTGGCTGAGCTTTAACAACTATAATAGGAAGGAACGAGTTCCATTTGTCGTTTACGCTGATCTGGAATGCATCCTCGAGAAAACTGACAGCGATCAGGAAGCATCTACGCTCATGTATCAACATCATCTTCAAGTATTTAGCATAGGATACTACGTGC